ATTCTTTTGTACTTATCCGAGAATTGAATAAACTGAGTTAACTAAAGTAAACGTTGAACTTTTTATGTTATGAGAAGATCAGATAAAAAGTTCTCGATCATATGATCTCTTCTCACCTCATTGTTTCTATTTGATTGAATGGGAAACTCGTGCTTTTCTGTATCACAATGAATTGAGAGCTTTCTTTTCTCAGCTTTCTCAGCTTTCTTTCTTTTTTCAGCTTTCTTTCTTTTATTCTGCCTCTATCATTACTTTTTGTGATTAAAAGGTTGACCGCTGAAACAGATCCAATGAAGCTTTTTTTCATAGCTTGACAAAAATAAAAGATATCAACAAAACCGTATAATTGATTATTCAAAAATAATTTATGAAACATAGAAGCAAAAGAGTCAACAATGAAAGTGTTATTCGGTTTACTGTTCCAACTTCTCCATAACACGCGCAAACGTTTGCCTTACGGGTCATTCCATGACAACTCTCCGTTCTCACTTCACATCGTGCACCGAGGTTGCCTAAATGAGATTTAGAGAACAAAAAGAAAGCTCTATGTAAATGATTGACTAGACTGGACTGGACTTGGGTAAGCCAGGACCTTTCGGCGGAGGTCCCCTTTCGGGTCCTCCCTCCAAGGTCCCGGGGTATCGCCATCCGGGCCCTTTGCAAAAATCACTCCACATGCGGTGTATTATCCCGATTCATGGCGAACACCGATGCTGTTGTCATCTTGGGGGGGGGTGTAGTTTAATGTCGTTGTCGACCAATACTGTCGACCAATACTGTCGACCAATACTGTCGACCAATACTGTCGACCAATACTGTCGACCAATACTGTTGACCAATACTGTTGACCAATACCAAGACCAAATCAAGTACACCAAATCTTGTCTGATACCTTTTGATCTGCACATCTCTCCATATCCTCCCTCACAACTCCCACGAAAAGCCTCATTGTCGCAACGGCTGCCGGTGATGAAATTAAAGCAATCGTCTGCAGTGATTACATCAAAGAGGAAAAGAATCACGGTAAAAAGTGAACCAAATATGATTCTGACTTCGGAAATAACGGTGCCAAACTTGTTTTAATCCAAATTTAAAGTCAAATCAAGATTTGAAAAGTTAACTGAAAGATTTGTATTGATGAAACATGGTGTTTTTGCTGGAAACACGTGTCAACAATGATTTCTTTCAAAACTTTTCTCCTCTCAACGCAAATATTGTTGCAACGGTCAAGAAAGTATTATTTTTGAATGTATGACGAGCTTTTCAAAAGTCAAATTACAAGAATTTCATTAAATTTCACTGATTTTCATTGAATTTCATTGAATTTCTTGTCATTTGACTTTGAAATTCAAAATTTCTGACAAAAATTGAGAAGTTTTATTGAAGAAGTTCGCACAAAAAACATATAATGACGGTTTTTTTTTATTTTTTAATAACATGCACAAACGAGTGTCCCACGAGTGATGCCTAGACAACTCTCTGTGCTTTTCTCGCAACGAGCGCCTCGTTTTCCTAAAAGTTTTCACTGATAAATTGATCTTTTTGCTTTTGAGAATCTACTGTATAAAGTTAAACCAAATTAAAGCAAAAAAAATGCTTAAGAAACTGTTAACTGAATATTTGAGGCATATACTTGGCTAACTGGAGCCAGATCCTAGCCATAAAAAGAGCCAATCTGGCTTTGTCCTGACTTGGGAAATGTCAGTAAAATATTCTACAAGTTCTCACACACTTGTAAATGATTAATTTGAATGAAATGAAAGCTAAATGAAAGCTAAAACAAAATTTGCAGTGATTTACTTATAGAAATGTTTATCAGAATTTCAGCTTTAAAATACTATCGTATTCTCTTTAATAGTAGTGCACCCCGGTCGAGCCGAGTTGATGACTATTTTACGGTTTCCAAGCTTTTGCAGAAGCTCAACACTCTAATCCCCCACTAGATCTCATCGTCAGCTACATTTTCCGATCCCACATCGATAGGTTCTGATAAGCGGTTCTCGAGATTTTGAGGAATTTAGGCGAAGGCTTAGGTACATAGGAAAATACGGGGCGCCGATTCTGACGCCGCCCCACAGTAGGCCGAAAACCTTTATAGCACTTTGGCGGCTTAAGTTCAAGGTGAGTTGGTTACTCGGCGGCCGTGTTGATGACTATTTACAGTTTCATTTTTCCCAGAGCTCAACACTCAAATCCCCCCAGATCCATCGTCAACTCATTCCGATCCCACATCGATAGATTCTGATAAGCGGTTCTCGAGATTTCGATCAATTTAGGCAACGCTCAGGGTGCTCACGGTGCACTACTAGGGGTGTAGGGGTAATTCTAAAATTGTTGACTAGAGCGAACTATTGGAACGGCTTTTGAGATTTCGAGGAATTTAGGCAAAGCTTTTGGTGCACTACTATTAGAGAAAATACGGTATATTTAAAATTTGACAATCTTTAATCATTGATAAGCTTATCAATGATTAAAGCCTATCAATTGATAAGCTTATCATCAGATTATCATTGATAATCTGATAAGTGATAAGCTAACTCATATCTCTTTAAGTCTAGATTATCTTAGCGTTAGGCTAACTTCACTTAACTTGTCGGAACTTGAAAGATGACTAAAAGGTTTACCAAAAATGTTAGACCAAAAATATTACCAGATTAGAGTAACCCTTTGTCCCAAGAAAAGTCTCAAGAGAATCGAATTAGCTTCGGGTTTGCCTATCATAGCTTTTCACAAAGAATTTTCAAGAAGAAGCCTGTACTACAGTAGGTAATATGATTACTATTTCAAACCATTGAGGCATACACTTGACTAACTGAAGCCATCGTTAAGCTAAGTCTAAGCAAATTCTTTTCAAAAGTGTCAACATCTCCAACCTTTAGCCCTGCAACTATTCCCATAAGCGCTTTCACAACTTCCCCAAAGCGCCTCATTGTCGCATCGACTTCCCGTGATGAAATTCCAGCAATCCGCTTCACTTTCTTTCACAAAAGCCATCAAAATAATAAAGCACAAGATTGAAGTGAAAAAGAAATAACGCATTTTGAAAAGAAAATGTTTAGATGTTTAGAATTGTTATCACATTATATAATGCCTCTAATTGTTTACTGTTTACTGGACCAATTTTGAAGTTTGACAATTTCCTTTAGTAACAAAATTTTAATGGCTTGAAAAAAGCAAATATTTACAAAAATCTCATCAAATGTTGTGTACCGGTTTTTCAAAAAGCTTACTCAGCAAAATTTTTGCAAAAAGAGCTTTTAAAGTAAAATTTCCAAAAATAGATGTGACTTTTTGAGATTTTAAAGCCATTTCCCGAGAAATTTTAGCTATTTAATGGAATTAATTATAAAGTCTTTTGTTTTTAAACGTTTCCAAATCAATTACAAAGGTTGTTTTGTAAAGCTGCTTAAGAATTGGACAGAACAATTCAAAAGATTCAAAACATTCAAAACAATTAGAACAATTAGAACAATTTCCAAAAAAAGTTTCTTTTGATTTGCTGAGTTTCTGATCACAAAAAGATCATATAATAAATAAATTAATATAATAAATAAATTAATATAATAAATAAATTAATATAATAAATAAATTAATATAATAGGGCGGTCAGGGCCCAGAAGTGGCTCATTCCTTTTGCAAATTCCCTTTGCTTCCAATGCCTCTTTATCAAATTCATTTCCCGTTAGAGCCGCTAGATTATGGAACTTGCTCCCAAACGACATACGAGAAATTCAGTCGCTTTTCATATTCAAGAAACGTATCGATGCTTTAGATCTAGTGGCTCTTTGCCGTAAGTAATTGGCTTATTGATTTCAGTATGTATTGTATGATTAAGTATCACTGTGCATTTCTCTATGATTTCTTTCACTTTATCGTTTGAATAAAGTATTATTATAATAAATTAATTAATAATTATAATAAATAGAACTCTTTATAGAATATTTCACAACATTTACAACCTTTTCAAAAACATCGACTCGGATCGACTAAAACATGAATCGGCTAGCGTAATCCGTAGACTGGTTAATAGCTGTTGCCGTAGCCCGGTTAGCTGATGGCTTGATTGTGAGGCTTACGGTAACATCAACTAACTCCGAGATGGAAAACTTGGTACTTGTCGGTTATAAATCCACAGAGACTCAACTCAGTTAGGCAAGAAGCTGACAACTTTTGAGGGGTGATGTTCAGTGAAGTAGAGTGTCTGAAGTGATCAGTCGATCAGTTGAACGAGAATCGATAACCGAGAAGACTCGGATGTGGGATGCTTAACGGAGATGAGTCTTTGTGGATGTATAACCGACAAGTAACTTTTCAAAAACATCGACTCGGATAGACTAAAACATGAATCGGCTATCGTAATCCGTAGACTGGTTAATAGCTGTTGCCGTAGCCCGGTTAGCTGATGGCTTGATTGTGAGGCTTACTTCAACATCAACTAACTTCGAGATGGAAAGCTTGAACGAAATTTAGTTCAATTTCAAAAAAGATGTTGAAAACAATATTCTAATATGTATTTGACTCATCGATCTCACACCTAATGACTCTTTCTGCTTGTATTTCACAAGACTCTTTCCTTTTTCTCTTCTCTTCTTCTCTTCCTCTTCTTCTCTTCCATTTCTCTTTCCAAGACTCTCGATTTCTTTCCTTCGACTCTTCCCTTCCCTTCCATTTTCCTCTTTTTCTCATCATCTCTTTCCATTCCTTCATCCATCTCCATTCGGTTGTATAGAGAGAAACGAGGTCGCGTCTTTTCCCCATCACTCTTTTCTCTCTCTTTCCCCATTTCCTTTCTCTTTCATGAGCCTTGTTTTCTCAAAATCCTTCTTTTTCCAACTACCGCTTAGAAAGTAAACATTTTACTTCATTTTTGCAGAATTGTTTCCGAATACATTGTTTATTAGTTATTAAATAAAACTTGAACCTTTGCATGCTTGGATTTCTGTGAATTTTTGTTAATTGCTGTTTGAAATTTAATTGAATATAATTGATTTTCTCTAGAAATGTCAGAGGAAGATCAATATTATCAAGGAGAGGATTATGGTGGAGGAGGAGATGATGATTACGCACAACAACAAGGGTAGGCAAGCCAATACTTTTAAAGGACCTAGTTCTTTTGTTGACAAAATCGATTCAAAGGGGGATTGGAACCGATCCTCACTGGAACCAACTAAAATCTGTGGAAAATTCGGTAAAATTTTGGTGATGGTGACCCCGAAAACAGTCAAATAACGGCGTCGGTTTCGGTCTTGGTTTCGGTCTTGGTTTTGGAATCGGTTTTGGTTTTGGAAAAATTGGAAATATTGGTTTTGGATTGGACTTGGAGATAAAAAAATTCCAAAAATTGCTGGATTTCAAAGGGTATCTATCGGAGGCGTGTGCCAGACGGCGAGCGATTACGCTGCCGCACAAAGAACATTTTACTTATATAGGGTTTTCTCTTTTTTAGATATTCAGATGTAAAGTTGTATAGAATAATTCTATTACTACACCTAGTTGCCGATAATTTGGTTTTAGTGAGAATCGGTTCGAATTCAGACCTTTAAAACCCACAGCACAGCTTTCTACAGCTTCTTTTTTGCTAAACTCTATTAGCTAAACGCTTTTTCTTCCTCATTTTTTTGTCTTCTCTTGGTCAGGGAAATTTGGGTTTAGAATAACGTTGCTCTTGATTGAAGAAGTTTCCTTGAAGAAGAAGAAGAAGAAGAAGCTCTTGATTGAAGAAGTGATGAAATAAGTTACCGTACTTTCATCGCTAACACTCACTAACTTCTATGTCTATTTCCGCTTTTCAGATACGATTATCAGCAAGAAGAGCACGAAGAAGATGGAAATGATCAAAGTGGATATGAACAACAAGGGTTACTTTTAAATTTAACAGCACATTGCACACACAATAAGCAACTTAACACTTGCTTTACAGTTATGAATATCAACAACAAAGTGAGTATGGTGGTGGTTATGAGTATTCACAGGATGAGGGGTGACTTTTTGAGTTCTGTGTTAGCTGTGAGCCTTTTTCAGCTATTAATACAACTGAAACTTATTTCGATTAATCCATTCTGACAATTTAGTGACAATGGTGGTGGTGATGATCAAGGAGAACAAGAAGAGTATGAAGGAAATGATGAGGATCAAAGAGAGGAAGAGAAAGAGGAAGAGGAAGAACATGAAGAACCAGGTGATTTTAAATGCAAATAACATGCTAGTACGCATCAATACAGTATTATTGTAACAGTAGCAAACGGCGGGTTTTTTTCGGGTTAGATCTAGCATACGGCTTCTTTTGGAGTTTTGAGAACGCTGAGCTTTTATCACCGTGGCGCAGTCGAGAGCGCGCTGAGAGTGCGCTGAGAACGCTCTCGATCTCGATCCTTACAAAACCTTAAACACGTATAACTTTTGATAGAGTGCTCTTTAACAGAAACAGAAAGCAGATTCGGATTCAGCGTGAAATTCTGCGTCAAATGGTTTATAGTTGATGTGATTTGATCAGCATATCCATTTAATCTTCCCTTCTTAGCTGAATAGTCGTGAAAAAAAACGCTTAATCGACGATTGATCGTTTCAAATTTTAATCATTTACTCTTAATCATCAACTTTAATCTTTAATAACAGGTCGAGAGCGTTCTCGATCTGCGGCCGATCCGTTCTCGATCTGAGAACGCTCTCGATCTGCGGCCGATCCGTTCTCGATCTGCGGCCGATTCGTTCTCGATCTGAGAACGCTCTCGATCTGCGACCGATCCGTTCTAGATCTGAGAACGCTCTCGATCTGTGGCCGATCCGTTCTCGATCTGAAAACGCTCTCGATCTGCGGCCCACACAGTTCAACCTCCCGTAGTGCCATTCAATTTTGATTTTTTTTAATTCTTTTAAATGACACAACTACAATATATTTTAAGGTTTTCTAAAGAAGTTTTAGCTGATCAAACATGGCTGAGAAAATGACAAACAGACAGCTTTTTACTACTTTTTTAAATAGTAGATATCTTTCATGAACCATCACAGAATCATATCAAGCTTTGGATCAAATTAGAGACAAAATTACGATAGTTTTTGAAAGGTGACACATTTTAGAAAGGTTACGGATATAAAATTCAGATGGAAACCATGAAGAGAGCTACGAGGATGATCCACAAGATGAGCCACAAGATGAGGAACCAAATGAGGTAAGATAACCAAATACTGAAAAGATTAAAAAACAAGATTTACCTTAAGATATTGATACCAAATCAATCTAGGAATACGAAGATCAACAACAAGATAACTATGATCAAAGAGATGAAGATCAAGAGCATCAAGAGGACATTCAAATCGACGATGTTGAGGTGCTCGAGTGGACTCCTGATGATATCACTTCTCAAGATGATATGGTTAGTTTCAAAAAAGGAGTTTTGTAGTTAAAATATTGTAATCTTCTGAAGCTAATAGCTAAAAATCAAAAAGCATAATGCAGTAAACTAGAAGAATTTTAGCAAAGACTCGAAGAGTCCGGCTACACTCTTCGGTCCACCGATAACGAAGACGGTGGATTCAATATTGGAAGCGTTTTTAAGGGTAATCAAATTAATCTAGAGATAAAACTATATATAGAGATGAATAATCTACAATATAAATGTTACGATATCTACAATTTAAACCTTTTTAGGAGCTCTAGACGGTTTCGGCGGAGGCGGTGGAGGCGGTGACTTTGGCAGCATTGTAAGCACGATCTCTGGCATGATTTCGGGTGGAGGCGGTGGACGTAAGTGCCTCAATTCCCCAAAAACTAAATTGCTTACAATAACAGAGAAACTTTTATAGAACTAAAAAACGTTCATGTAAAGCTTGAGCAATAAACTTTTCAGCTTTAAGCAACACCTTCTCCTCAGGAGGCTTTTCCCATATTGCTGAGAGTCTGATCGCCAAAGCTGCGCACAGGTACGCATCTAAACGGTTAAACATGAAACTTTTACAGTAGCTTTCAATAAAGCTCTATTAAAGAAAAGCTCAATAATCAGCCCTAAAACTAAACTGATACTTTTGGGATTTCAGTGGCTCAACCCTCCACGCTAAATCCTTGTAAGAGTAGACTGACAAAGAACAAAGACAAAGACAAAGACAAAGACAAAGACAAAAAACAATAGTCAGCACTTCTAGTCAACAGTTTTCTAGTTTTCTCGTCAACACAAGTCACGTCAGAAAAAAAGCAAAGTAAAAATCCAAAGCCGGGACCGGACTAGTGAGGTTGTTTCCAGAGCAAGCTCTGGAAACGAACGCTGTACCAGACGGCCACGGTCGCGCCGAGATCTACTTCCGTGATCTACTTTAATCGCGAGCAAGATTTCTTCATATTGCCGCATTTTTTTTCTTCATAAGCATGATTTCTTTCCCCATGGTGCCCCGATGGCCGATTGGTTATGAGTCTTGTATCCCAGTCGGTCAAGTTTTGTTTTGGCCATGGGGTCGATCCCAGCGGCTAGAAAATTTGGCGCTTTTTCTCATATTGTTCTTTGCAACATCTTGAGGCTTATTAGGGTAATAAGAATTACCGTAAATACTGTAATAGTACCCCACCCCCCTCGTACAGTCGCGTAGTTGCAAAAACTTTTTAGTATTTCATTTTTTTCAAAGCACCCGTACTTGCAAAAAATGCGTCTTTGGTATCAAAAAATAGCTGAAATTCAGGGCTATTTTTTGATACTTAAACGCACATTTTAGCATAAACCAGTGTCGAGAAAAACTCGTTCAAAGCTAGACTACGCAACACTTCGCACCGTCATTATGGGGGTGGGGTTCAATTACAGTATTTATGGTGTGTATTTGTCACATTATTCATGTTGAATAGTTGAATACTTTTCTATTCTTTAGATTCCTGGGTGTCGATGAGAGCACCGGGTCAATCATTGGTGCTATCGCTGGGAATCTCCTCTTCAATATGGGCGGAAAGGGGAACTCGCTGGGTGGCATTGGAAAGATCATTCTCGATAATATTATTTCCGGGAAATTTCAGAGAAAGGTAAAATCTACCTACAATTGGAAATCTAATCTTGTCAATCAATTTGTCTTGTCATTCAGATTGATCCCTGGGTCTCCCCTGTACCCGGCGCTCAAAACTTTCGACTAAATTTCTACGAAGAAAGACAAAAGTGGGTAAATGAACCATAAATCAAAAAACTACTTACATCTGAATATCGAAAATTTGCATATTAGATGTCTTCAAACAGCCAGCCTCTTCGAGGATCCGGAATTCCCGGCAAATGAGCGATCTCTTTACTACAAAACCCCGCCCGATCAGGATGTAGTCTGGAAACGACCTGGAGTTAGTTTTGAAAGATTTTCACTATGATTTCTATATGGAAATTGTAAATTGACAGTTTAGCGCATCCCTGAGACATTAGACATAATATAAAGTTAGCAATGGAAACACAGATTTTCAAGATCTACCCAAAGATTTTTCAGATTTAAAACCCTGGCAAAAATACGTTCACATTATCAAATTTCCATAAGACAATCAAAAAAGAAAACGAAACTTTTGTGATGTAGCCAAAATGACCAAAATGACCATCTTCAATGCTCAGGAGATCGTTTCCGATCCCCAACTGATCGTCGAGGGTCATTCCCGATTCGATGTCAAACAGGGAGCCCTTGGTGATTGCTGGTTGTTGGCTGCTGTGGCGAATCTAACACTTCGAGACGAGCTATTCTACCGAGTCGTACCACCAGATCAATCTTTCACCGAAAACTATGCTGGTAATTCTTCAAACTATGCTGGTAATTCAAACCTTTTCTATTCACCTCTTTTAGGGATTTTTCATTTCCAATTCTGGCGCTACGGGAAATGGGTGGATGTGGTGATCGATGATCGGTGGGGATTTCGAAATGCTATTTAGATTTTGTGACTTTAGATTTAGAATTATTTATATTCTTATAGATTCTTATTCTTATATGCAAACGCTTATTGAAAATGACAAATCCGATATTGTGTTTATTTTTGCTTCAACTGGCTTTCGAGAAAAGCACAAAGTTTGACCGTTTTGTTCCCCCAAATTGTTCTTTGGGGGAACTACTGGCTTTCGAGAAAAGCTTCTACTGGCTTTCGAGAAAAGCTTCTACTGGCTTTCGAGAAAAGCTTCAACTGGCTTTCGAGAAAAGCTTCTACTGGCTTTCGAGAAAAGCTTCAACTAGCTTTCGAGAAAAGCTTTAACTGGCTTTCGAGAAAAGCTTTAACTGACTTTCGAGAAAAGCACAAAGTTTTCACCATTTTGTTCCCCCAAATTGTTCTTTATTCATAAATAGTTCAAAAAGAAAAAAAACTGAAAGCAAACACTTTAAGAACTCCAAAAAATCTTTTGCGAAAGTTTTACAAGAAAAGCAAAAAGTAGGGTGGTGAGAGGAGTCGAACCTGGGAGCAAAAATTGCACTAGTTTTATATTCTAACGCACTATCCCCTAGACCGCCACTGCTTTTGTTCATTTCGGCGTAACACCCTCTCATAGATAAGAGTTTGCCGCAAAATGGTTGAAACTTTGCGCTTCTCGAAAGCCAGCTGGGGAAAAATAAACACAGCATCGAATTCGTCATGTCCGTTAGGCCTTTGTATCTCAAAACTCAAATCCTCTTTTGAACGTTCCATTATTAGAGGTCAATTCTTGTAAAAAGACCATAATATATATCATAATATCATAATCATAATATCATAAACATAAACATAAAAATATCTACCGTAAATACTGTAATAGTACCCCACCCCTCTCGTACAGTCGCGTAGTCGCAAGTCGCAAAAGTTTTTTAGTTTTTCATTTTTTTCAAAGCGCTCGTACTTTCAAAAAATGCGTCTTTGGTATCAAAAAAATAGCTGAAATTCAGGGCTATTTTTTGATACCAAAGCGAGCATTGTAGCATAAACCAGTGTCGAGAAAAACTCGTTCAAAGCTAGACTACGCAACACTCCGCACCGTCATTATGGGGGTGGGGTTCAATTACAGTATTTATGGTAAGTATTGTAGTAGTATTGTAGTACAATACTTATAGAGAGAAAATTTCAATTCCAGATTGCCCACCGTCGACGGTCAACTCATCTACATGCATTCGGCAGAGCACAATGAGTTCTGGAGCGCACTTTTGGAAAAAGCCTATGCCAAGTAGGAATCGTTTGAATTTGATTATTAAGCTTAATTCAGACTATATCCTGTTGAGAAATTTGTTTTTTTTAAAACTATTGTAACCTTGTTTTTTTGTCGTATTTTCGCCTCTAACATAATCTTTTCTTTATTAGAAATTGACGCTTTTGCCTTTAACCAAAGAACTTTTGTTTTGTTCTTTTATTTTCGTTTTGTTTCTAAAAGGATTCACGTTTCTAAAAGGCTGAGCCATTCAAAAAAAGCTTCTGCTTCTGCAAGTGCAAAAAAGCTTCTGCTTCTGTAAGCTTCTGCTTCTGCAAAAAGCTTCTGCTTCTTTTGCCTGGTCCAGGCCAGATCTAAAGCTTGAAATATACTTTATAAAACAAAGTTGTTTGCTACAATGTGAAAAGTGACTCGTTTGGCCATGTCAATTGTAGATAGGCTGTATAAAAACTAGAGCTAAGATTACGGTAAAGCAAAGCATGTTTTAAAAAAGCTTTAGACCAAATCTTTCAAGATTCTCTTTCAAGGATTCAACGAATTTCAGGATGTACGGCTCATATGAAGCGCTGGATGGCGGCAGCACCGTCGAGGCTTTAGAAGATTTCACCGGTGGATTGACTGAGTATTTTGATCTAGAGTGAGTTACAAAAAGATTAGGAAAAAAATATTATACAAATTTGCTATATGCAAATTTCCAGGAAAACCCCCAAAGAGACGGTGCTAGCGATGCTGGTCCGAGGCTTTCAAATGGGTGGTTTATTCGGTTGCTCGATTGGGGTAATGGTTTAAAACTATAATTAGAAACTATAAAATCAACTATAGTACTTATTTAAACATCTAATCTACATTTAAAATCCGTTTTCAGGCCGATCCGAACATAAAAGAAGCTGTTCGGAGCGACGGTTTAGTGAGAGGACACGCTTATTCGATCACCGCTTTGCATACGGTGAGTTATATTCAGAAATTAAAAGAGAATATAGAATTATATAGTATTTAGGTATTTAGGTATTTAGATATTTAGATATTTAGTTAATTATTTAATAGTTTGGGGTGCGACCCGCTTTAACCTTATCAACGAGGATGATTCTGCTTAAGAATGGCCGAATAGCACAAAAGGGTTTCCCCAAAAGCGCTTACAACGTAACAAGAAAATACGTAACAAGAAACGTAACACGTAGTATCCAACAATAGATTAATACTCTTGAGAAGAGTACAGATCGGATTGATACTACGTCGATGGTGACACAAATGTTAGTAAAACCAGTCTCTCTACAATGTTAAACCAGTTATCTAAACAGGATTTAAAACCTGAAGGGTAGCATAAAGTAAAGTGAATTTATAACGTTACTGTTTATTAGTACAGAACCAAAATGCAACAATACCCATTACAAAAACAGCATGCGCATCAAAAATGAAACAACAAAGTCCTCCCAGAAAGAAGGCAAAAACCCGCAGACCAAAAAAAAACAATTTCGGGAAGGGAGAAAAAGGACGAAAAATGCGACGCGAATAATTGCAAAATAGCAACGCAAATAGGAAGGAAACGGACGCGACCTTAGGCAATAGAAATGAATTTTACGCTAAACACAGATAGTCGGCGATTGACAGCGTTTCGTAAAATGAGTTTGTAAAAACTGCGCCAACTGCAAGTGCACCGTGTACGAGACGCCCCAATTCCCCGTTTCCTTCCTATTTGCGTTTCTATTTTGCAATGATTACATTATGCAATTATTACATTATTAGGTCGCGTCCTAATAATGTAGTCTTCAATTTATTTGTATTTTAGGTGAAAACAAACCGCGACGACGTCGTTCTCCTTCGAATCAGAAATCCGTGGGGTAACAGCAAGGTATCTAATAATCTAATCACCTAAAATATCTAATAATAGACCTAAAAATATACCTAAAAATAATATCACCGTATACTTAGCACTATAACGCACTATTCTATTTTCAGAATGAAATTTTATAGCACTTTTAAGGAATGGAATGGTGCCTGGTCGGATAATTCGTCAGAGTGGAGTCAAGTCGACTCATCCGAGAGGCCACCTTTCGAGAAAGATGGAGAATTTTGGTAAAAATTAAGAGAAAAACATGATCTTTGCATTTTTAGGATGTCTTTTGAAGATTTCTATAGCAATTTCGAGGAGATGGAGCTCTGCAATTTGTCAGCCGCCGTCATGGATGAGATTAGTGAGATGACCGGAGTGGATACAAGAGCTGTCGATCAAAAGGTTCTTTCTTGTTTCCTTTTCTAAAATGTGCCAATTTTTGAGCACTACCGTAATCTGGTTTTGTCTGGGCGGGAAGAGGATTCTAGTTTTTTAGATTTCTCATTGGGAAGAGCAAGCCGGGGATGGACGCTGGGATGCGCGAGCGGGAAGTGCCGGTGGATGTGCAAATTATCCAAGTACGATTTTTTTTGAAGAGTACCTGAACGCAGTCGTCTAGGTCGTCTAGGTCATAAGAGAATGCATGACCAGATCATGCAATACAATGCTTGGTCTGGCCAGGGTCCAGACTTCGTTAGATCTAGCAAAACATTTACTCATTTCACCCGAAAATTCGCAATCTTGAGCGAATAACTTCTTTAAAATTTTAAATTTTTTTACTAGCTGTTTACTTTTTTCTGCTGTTTGCTTCTGAAACTAGATGCAATTCTGCTTTTCACACATAGAAAAATGAGCCCCAAGCTTGCGAATTTTTCGGTGAAACTAATAAATTTGTTTTTGCTAGATGTCTGGACACGGATCCGGATTAGAGTCATGCGTATGGCTTGATCTTCTCTGAAAATTTGATCCTAATAACAGCCCTGCTTATCTCAATGTACAGTTTTTAAAACGAAATTAGAAAGCTCAGATGGCAGTATTGATGTTAAAAATTGGCGCAATTCTCAATGAATAAAGCTTAAAAAGAATTGACTCGAGAATAGAAAAAAGAGCCCCAAGCTTGGGAATTTTTCGGTGAAACTAGTAAATTTGTTTTGCTAGATCTAGCGATCTAGCGATCTAGCTATCTAGCGATCTAGCGAAGTCTGGACACGGATCGGGATTAGAGTCACGGTCATGCGTATGGCTTAATCTTCTCTGAAAATTTTATCCTAATAACAGCCCTGCTTATCTCAATGTACAGTTTATATTCAATGCAATAAATGCAATAAATTTTCTCATTTCATTTCAGACTCTTTCTATCGTAACCCTCAATACGGTGCCTCTTTCACGGTCACCGAGGACTCACTTGAGCACGACGGGAAAACGACCGTCATTGCGGCATTGCTGCAAAAATATAGGCAAGAAACGTTTAAAATAAAATAGATTAGCATTTAAAGTTTCACTTAACTGAAAACTAATCAAAATCAAATCAAAATGTTTTCAAATAAAAGTTGCGAATTTATCAAGGAAACTTTAGAAGAGAGCTTCGCCCGCAGGGACTCGACGATTTACCCATTGGCTTTTCCGTGTATCGGGTGAGCCACGTTTTAATCATCTTTCAAAAATTTGCATTTAACTAATGTTTTGCCTATGTTTTTGATAGATTTTTCAATTTTTGTTATCAATTTTTCATTTAGGAAGAAGATCTCGGGATCCCACTCGATATGCATTACTTGAGAAATCACAAGACAATCGCCAGAACCCCAGTTTTTGTCAATAGAAGAGAGGTTTATTTGAAAGATTTTGAATATTTGAAAGATTTTGAAATATTGCATAAATTTTAGATCTACCTAGAATTTATCTAATAAGAAAAGGGGAATTGGTTGAGCCAAATGCTATGCGATGCTATACCATTCCCAGAATTTTATGCTGCTTCCGAAGATGTATTCGGTTTTTGCTAAATGACAATCGGCGAGGAGTTCTAAGCGTCTAAAGTTTTGCTAGAACTCTGAAAATGTAGTCATTTCCAAGCTCCTTGTGTACCTTTTTAGCGGTAGAGTGCTTTCCTTAGTAAAAGTAAGTAAGTAAGTAAGTAAGTAAGTAAGTAAGTAAGTAAGTAAATAAGTAAATAAGTAAGTAAGTCAGTAAGTAAGCAAGTAAGTCAGTAAGTCAGTCAGTAAGTAAGTCAGTCAGTCAGTAAGTAAGTAAGCAAGCAAGCAAGCAAGTAAGTAAGTAAGTAAAATCTGCATGAGTAATTTTTCCTCGATTAATCGACATTTTTGGTCGAGCAACTATGAGTGATCCTCTTTACACAACGAGTAAACTGAATATCTTTACATGTGGCGGGAATTTGCCACCAAAACATTTAAACGGCTGAATATCTTTAAAAAGAGTCCTATCTAAGTCGTCGCTCGTGATTTTTTGCAATAATTTTCGCTAAAAGTACGGTAAATTTCTTTCGAAGTGTGCATTTTAAAAAACGCATTACTCGTGAGGAACACACTCTGCTTAACGGCCTCCATGTGAGCCTCCCTCCATTCAGTCGTGGCCGAGTGGTAGAGCGCTCGTTTCCCGGGCGGGACCTCGCAAGTTCGATTCCGGCTTTGGATTTTTACTTTTCTTTTTTCAAGAACTGCATTGTGCAATTGCATTCCATTTGGCATTTAGCCGGCTTATCCAGTTGACCTTCCTTTGTACTTTTTAAGGGTAAAGTTTATTTTCCAGGTTACGGTTCGTTTCCGCGTCGATCCGGGCTCTTATATCCTCTTACCGTCCACCTTTGAGCCAAATGAAGAAGCCGATTTTTTGCTGAGAATTTATGCAAATGGCGGAATACAATTCCAGTAAGTCAAAAATTGTATTTTTAAGTACAAAATTTAAAAAAAACACCCTTTCTAGCACTTAAGTGCTAGAAAGGACTGACTTAAAGAGACTTTCTAGCACTTAAGCACACTAAAGTCTCTTTTTTTCGCAATAATTTGATAGGATTTATGAGAAAATGAAGAATAAATGCGCTAGAAAGGTCAAAGAAAAGAAAGCCTTTTCAACGAAAGCCTTTTCTTTTTCCCTCTTTTCGTTGGGTAATTAAAAAAAGGCTTAAATAATTTTAGTTTCCATTTTAAAGCAAAAAGTCGATACTTTTGACTTGAAATTTCTTAACTAAATCTGATTTTTTTAAATCTTTTTCAGATGCATACAATGAAGATCGTGCTGAATGAGAAAAGTTGAAAAAAGCTTAAAAAACTTGATCTTTCCCTAAAAATTCACTTATTCTTCGTGCTGCTGTGATAATAGTCAAAAATTATGTCTATTTTTAATAAATACTTTAATAAAGTGTTAAAATCTAATAAAATATAGTAAAGCTGATGTTTTTTGAAAGATAAAATATTCAGTTTTGGTTTTTTTAGGCTTTTTTAGGCTTTAGAGCCTTCCTCGATCCTCTCTCTCTTCACTGAGGTGTTCGGAAGTATGCTTCAATGAATCCGACTGCCATTTGCCTCAAGTACTTCAACTAAAAGCTCAGAAATATTTTTACGATTATTTTCTTTCGTTTATTTATAATTGTTACTTAAAAAAATGATAAATAGATCTTAAATCTATTTATCATTTTTTCTTAATGTTCTTAATGAGATTCAAAATTCGACAACATACATAGATAAATGATAAAAACCGGTACTTGTCATTCTCTCATTCTCATAAATGCTATGAAGTTTCCGGTAGATTAAGTTAGTTTCCGCAATTGCCATGTTTTATTGGGTTGGTGAATTGAAAACTGCCGAACTTTAAACTAAAATTTATTCAACATAAAACCATCAATTCATTTCAAATAGTTTCCATTATTATTTCTGACTTCTGCCCATTTTACAGGCAATTTGCGGATTCCTCTTTCGTAGTAGGATTTTGGTTTTGAATCGAAAAGCCTTCAAGGAAAATCCGCCCAGCCCCTAATCCCATTTTTTCCCGATACTTTACCAAACCCGAAAGGAAAGTCCCTTATGCAAGCCCCCATTTGCCAGGTGGAGAGCGATTATGTGCGTGTACAAAGAACGGATTCCTCTTAGGATTTTGGTTTGTGTGTGAGACAAGTGTGAGACTCAAAAATGGAGGACTGGAGATGTCGAGATGTCCCAGTTTGAGCACTTTCTTCAAAAGAAACCCATTTTGGTGTCAATAGAAAAGTTGTAGAGGAACAAAAATTAGGCGTATAGCCAAATTTCCAAAAAGATACACTTAGTAGTTTCGCTTCAAATGCAAGTTTCGTGAAAATTCGTAAATTTGGCATTTCTTGAAAACTAGTTTTTGAATCGTTCTGAAAATTTGGAAATAAGCTTAATTTTTGATTCTCTACAACTTTTCCATTGACACCAAAGTGGGTTTCTTTTGAAGAAAGTGCTCAAACTCTCACATATGACAATAGCCGGCAGTTTTCAATTCACCAACCCAATAGAATTGAATTTTAAAAACAATGATTAAAAATATCATTTAGCAGAATTCTAGAAAGAATTCTAAAACAAAAATTTACAAATTTACAAATTCAACCCCGATGCAAGAGAGTTTAACAAGTTTAACGTGCGAGCGGTAGGCATTTGCGTTATCCACTAGACCATCAATGTAATTCTTCACAGCTAGAATGGAGGGTCTTAAAGCCTCTGTTTTGGCATTTAAATTTTAAAAACAATGATTAAAAATATCATTTAGCATTTAGCAGAATTCTAGAAAGAATTCTAAAACAAAGACAAAAATTTCAAAATTCACAAATTCAACCCCGATAGAAGCCAAAGCTTGTTCAAAGCCCCATAAAAAAACCAAAAGCTTTAATCCAAAAGGTATTCTCCATTATTATCGATGACTTCTTGCCATCTTTGGCGCAATTCCTTGATGCCATTCTCAAAAAACTGAGCGTCCTTCTGAGAGTTTAACATCAACGCTTTTCAACTTCAACCCCGATAAGTTCAAGAGAGTTTAACTTCAACGCTTTTCTCGGAAAGCAAAACCAGTCTCCTTTGAATCATCTCAACGCTCATCCGAAGAGTTCACAAGAAATATTTTCTTTTGCGTGAACAAATCTTCAAGATATTCAGCCAAAAGAGTTGTGTGCATCGTTTTTTTGGGTCAACTTTGGGGATTGTTGACTCTTGAATGACTCTTCACACCTCAACCATTCCTATTGGAGTGTCAAGGGATATTGTCGGTCATTGAGATCATTCAATAGAAAATATCTATTGTCTTCATTATGACAACTTGTTTGGGGTTATTGATTTTATGTTGCTACCGATTTTTAACTGCCTTTATGATTTCTAAACGATTCCTAAACGATTTCTAGCTAAAAAAACTATCGTATGCTTTTTGGCTTTGTTTTGATTTTGCTTTGGTTTTGATTACCGTATACTTTTGGTTAAAAAACTTTCCATCTAATGTACGGTAGCTTTATCGAACTTTATCTGGATAAAGATTCAGATACAATTAGAAAAGATTAGAAGCTACTTAAAGATCCACTTATTGATGAGCTTTGTCTAAAGTGCATCTTTTAGAAATCGATTTTTTTTCAAAGATTATCCGCTGATGTACGATAGCTTTCCAATGTAGAAAAACAATCCATTTGTAGAAATCCGATGTAGAAAGACAATCCATTCCAAAAACTATTCAACTTGTTGCCTACAAAGTTTTCTTTAATAAACGAATCAAAATCTAATCTTTGAGATCAAATCTTTAAGATCTTTGAGATCTTTCTTCAAATTTCCCTAGAGAATCAGTGCTTTCAATATCAAGCCTAAGCTTTCAAGATATCTGGCTTGTTTATAAACTTTTTTGGATTGTATTTTAAGTGTTTTCTATTTCTATTTCAATGACACTATTTCCCGGTGCATCTGTTTTTGTCTTCTGAAAGTCATTTTCTGCATTTTTGTCATTTGATAGCTAATGATAGAGCTAATTTTTCTAAAAGTTGTCGATTCCAATGAATAGATGAACTATTCCAATAAATAGCGGAACTATTCCAATGAATAGCTGAACTATTCCAATAAATAGCGGAACTATTCCAATGAATAGCTGAACTATTCCAATGAATAGCTGAACGATTCCAAGAAATAGCGGAACTATTCCAATGAATAGCTGAACGATTCCAATAAATAGCGGAACTATTCCAATGAATAGCTGAACTATTCCAATCAATAGCTCAACCATTCCAATGAATAGCTGAACTATTCATCATATTTATTAAAAATTATCCTAAAGTTAACCATTTTGAAAGAGACAATAGACAATTTAAACAAAGAGACAATAGAGAATAAACAATTTCTGTTTCAAAATGTTTCAAATTTCGATTCACACGATTCTTCAACTCTTCAAGAGTTTCCCCCTTGAATATCAATATCTAAAGAGGCTTTCAAATGGGAATATAAGTTGACGATGAAAGGTGATACTTTTGAGGAGCTGTGTCTTGGGGAAAAAGAAAAGAAAAGAAAAGATCGTTTTCCACACTCTCATTCATTTGTTCTCCATACTTTCACACAAATTGAATACCATTATTGATTCTATTTTTAAAGATTCTATCGTAAATATTCTAATAAAAGAGCCCCTATAGGAGCGTTGGGTAGTCTAAGTTTACTCTCAAAAAAACGCTCGTATCTCGATACCAGTACGTTTGCTTTGGCTCGCTTTGGTATCAAATTAAAGTAGAGAGAATGAGTGATTTTTTGAGATATAACACATATTTTTAGAATTAACCAGTGCTTAGAAAAAAGTGATTGAAAATCGGCTTAGGGGTTGTATTGTTTGTTACCAAATTATTCGTGTGAATAAATGTATTTTTATAAGCTACAGTATCCCTAGACATGTTTCTTCTAATATAATAGATAGCCTACGGTATCCTATAGCTATTATCTAGAATTCTTAGATTATCTACTAAATTAGTATTTAGCTTGATTAACTTACCGTAAAAGCTCTAATAAAACGGCCTCCTATAGGAGCGTCGAGTAGTCTACGTTTACTCTCAAGAAAACGCTCGTATCTCAACACCAGTACGTTTGCTTTGGCTCGCTTTGGTATCAAATTAAAGTAGAGAAGATGGGTAATTTTTTATGATATAACACAGATTTTTAACATTAACCAACAATTAGAAAAAATGATTGAAAAATGATGAAAAATCCGCTCCGATAGGAGGTCGTTCTATTAGTTTTTATGGTATGTAGCTCTATCATTGTATTTCAATTGTCATCAATGCTAGTTTTGAGAGCTGTAAATTTACCAATAACACCGAATTTGCTTGCCGTAAAAGCTCTAATAAAAGAGCCCCTATAGGAGCGTCGAGTAGTCTAAGTTTACTCTCAAAAAAACGCTCGTATCTCATCACCAGTACGTTTGTTTCTATCCGCTTTGGTATCAAATTAAAGTAGAGAAGATGGGTGTTTTTTTGAGATATAACACATATTCTTAGAATTAGTCAGTGCTTAGAAAAAAATGATTAAAAAGTGGCAAAAAAAAGTCGATTTTTTCAATCATTTTCTTCTAAGCGCTGATTTCTAAGTGTTTATAAATGACAAATTCACCAATTAATCTACAATTTACTTTAAATAGAAAATGTTTATTATTCATTTTTATCTTTTTAAGATAATTTCAATCATTTTCCAAGCAAATTCAATTGGAAAAACTCGTTTTTCGCAAAATTTGATAAAAAGCTGAAGGAATTTGGCTATAAAGAAGGATATAAAAAGATCAGCTGAATGAATTTCTCTGAAAATTTGGCTATACATGTAACTTTTTGTGCTCAATCTTTTATCTATTAACATTAACATAGGTTTCTGTTGATTAAAGCGCTTAAATTGCCTTTATTGGCTACCAGATTTGACTTTTGTGGAAAAAAGCAGAGACAAGCAGAGACAAAAAGAATTTCATAAGAATTGAACGTTATTTTGTAGAAAAATAGTAAGCCTTTCTAATCGAGTTAATTGTTTTTTTTTAATTGCTGAATTTGTTATTTATAAATGTTAGTAGAAAGACACTAGTAGAGTGTCTTTAGTGTCTAAAGATTTACGTAATAAAAGAATATCTAAAATAAAAGATCCCGAATCTGCTTTCTCTAAATCCTCTAAAGCTTTTTTCGTAAATCGTGTGACTAAAGTTTGGAATGCCCTTCCCGACAAGTTGCGTTTGATGAAATGAAATGTCCAAATCTTTCCACTCGAACCACTAAATTTTAAGTAAATTAAGTTAAAATAAGTTAAAATAAGTTAAAATAAGCTAAAATCTAGCTAAAATACGCTAAAATAAGCTAAAATAAGCTAAAATAAGCTAAAATAAGCTAAAATCTAGCTAAAATACGCTAAAATAAGCTAAAATAAGCTAAAATCTAGCTAAAATCTAGCTAAAATAAGCTAAAATAAGCTAAAATAAGCTAAATTTAGTTAAAATCTAGCTAAAATTAGCTAATAATAAAGCAAATTAGATAAAATAAGCTAAAATCTAGCTAAAATAAGCTAAAGCTAAAGTCTTTCCACTCGAACCACTAAATTTTAAGCAAAATAGGTCAAAATTTTAGCTTATTTTAGCTAGATTTAGCTTATTTTAACTTTGGAATGCCCTTCCCGACAAGTTGCTTTTGATCTCCACCGTGTCTGATTTTAAAAGGACTATTTCGTTGCATTTTAAGTGACTTTGTTGATCTTTTAAGTGACTTTGTGATCTTTTTTTGTTGATCTTTTAAGTGACTTTGCTGATCTTTTAAGTGACTTTGCTGATCTTTTAAGTGACTTTTATCTGCTACATTTTTCATGTCGTTTTTGCACTTTATTTCTTTCTAAATAAAGTATTTATAGATTAGATTTAAATAAAATTCGATTCTTTCATACTTTTTATTGTTATTATTTGATTTTATTTTAACTTATCTTATTAAGTTTTATTTTCAAAAGAATTAGTTGATCTTATGGAAACTTTCTGGATCGATGGACCACTAGAAATGAATCCAAAATACGCTTTTCATGTCGTTTTCGCACTTTATTTCTTTCTGAATAAAGTATTTATATTCAAAATAATCTAAAATTCGTTAAAATAAGCTAAAATTTAGCTAAAATTAGTGAAATCTAGCTAAAATTAGCTAATTTATAAGCTAAAATCTAGCTAAAATTAGCTAAAATCTAAAGCATATTTATTTATTTAAAAATTAAATTGAAAATTGACTGTTCAAACCGTAACAACTGTGCATTTTCTATTCAAAAGACTGTAGTGAAATAGACTTTCTTTTTTTAATAGTATTTACCGTACTTTACTGCACATGTACAGTACAGTACATTCAACTTTTTGGGGAACTCGAAAAGTCTCCACCGTGTCTGATTTTAAAACGGGCTATTTCGTTGCATTTTAAGTGACTTTGTCATCTTTTATCTAGTACATTTTTCATGTCGTTTTCGCACTTTATTTCTTTCTGAATAAAGTATTTATATATGTCGTAGCCGATTATGAATTTCAGCCGATTATGAATGAGTGGGTCTAGGAGCGTCCAACCATCAAGTATTTGGTATCATTCAACGCAGAATAATTAATAATTATGTTAAATTTTTAAAATTAGAAAGATTGGATAAAAAGAAAAAAAATTATGGGGCTTCAAAGTTTTCTCTTGAACAAACAGTTTTTTTGCTCTAATTTTTTTTCTTTTTATTTAATCTTTCTAATTTTAAAAATTTAACATAATTATTAATGATTTTGCGTTGAATGATACCAAATACTTGATGGTTGGACGCTCCTAGACCCACTCATTCATAATCGGCTGAAATTCATAATCGGCTACGACATATATATAAAAAAAGTCTCTAAAGACTTACCTAATATTAGAATATTTACGGTATGTTCAATAATTAGTTATTGATTCATTTATGAATAGGAAAGGTGTACTTTGTGCTCATTGTTTTGAAAACGTGCCCTCCTTGGTACACTCTAACGATCTTTCTCTTGATCTAGGCAGACTTAAACGCTTTTTAAGTCTTGTCCTTTATCCCGTTCGCTAGAAAGTATGTGTTTACATTTCGCAACACAAAGTACAACACTCTACAATCGATTTTATTGGATTCAATTGCAAAATCTCAGTCCCCAAACGAGAGCTTTCGATGTAGCAAAAAATTTTTCTTTAATTTTGTGTTTATAATTTCTTTTCAATTTCGATCATAAATTTAGATTTTCAGAAAAACAAAGAAAATCACAGAAAACTTAATTCTTTAAACTGGTACTCGATGTACTTTCTTGTATCATTGCTCAGCTCATCGTGGTTTCTCTCTCCATCAAATGCGTATCTTTCCGAGTCATGGTCCTTGATGTCCAGGTGGGATTTGTTAGTGGGATGTTTGGTTATTGAGCTCATCTTTAGGGTTCGTTAGGGTTTGTTAAGCTAAGTCTAGTTATTGAGCTCATCTTTAGGGTTCGTTGGGGTTTGTTAGGCTAAGTCTGGTTATTGAGCTCATCTTTAGGGTTCGTTAGGGTTCGTTAAGCTAAGTCTAGTTATTGAGCTCATCTTTAGAGCATCCTTAGGGTTTGTTAGGCTAAGTCTAGTAATTGAGCTCATTGTTAGAGTTTGTTAGGGTTTATTAAGCTAAATCTAGTTATTGAGCTAAATTTCAATAAATTTCAATATAGCATTTCAATATATTCAAATAGAGACTCTTCTATTTTTCAATGTCCCTCTAAAATTCTTTTTCGTCAATATACCCAAATTTTCAAGAGCTCAAAGATTGATGTTTTTGTTGGATTTTCATCCAGTTTTCGACGTGATTAACCGTTTTTTTTAGTTTTACTATTTAAAGCCTTTAGAAGTTAGAAAAAGTATTTTGTTGTTGAGCATTTTGCTATCCGAGAGTTGAGAAATGCAAAAAATGAAAGATTTCGTCTAAAGGGGGGTTTTTCTATTGTAAATTAGTGATCGACCGAATCGAAGTTATTTCAGTGATCGACCGAACGTGCCCAAATGTGTGGACATTCCGGCAAATTTGACGCTTTGTCAGAATATGCAGGTAAACAAGTAAATGGTCATTGAAGAACTAACAATAGAATCAATACAATAGAATCAATAGACAAAAATATCATCGACAATCAATAGACAAAGATATCATCGACAATACAATCAATCTAAAAAGAGATTTCTCTAAAATCTTCGGTCACTTTCAGTATACCCAAATGCGACTACCAAATCTGCTCGATCATGACACTTTGAGAGAGGTGAGTTCATTCAGAAATAAGCTTCTAAGCGTTTCTAAGCTTCTAAGCGTTTCTAAGCTTCTAACCACTCAACAAATCGTCAACTATTCGAAAAAAATCAATTTCCAACAAATTCTCAAGCAAAGTTCGACAATAAAACTTGCTCATCACCACAATTTCCCAGGTTGTTGACGCCGCTCGTGACTGGGAGAACCTGCTCCGCTTGAACTGCCATCCAGACACACAAGTGTGTTCAGTTTTCTGAAATTCTGTATTTTTTTGTATGCAATTTAAGTCATAGTTTGGATTTTCCATTTTACTAACAACTTTCAGCTCTTCCTGTGCTCTTTATACGCGCCGATCTGTCTGGATAAAGAGATTCTCCCGTGTCGATCATTGTGTGAAGCGGTGAAAAAGGTGTTTTCATTCTTTCAGCACCAAGTGTACTTTGTGCTTGAAACAAACCCCTTTTGGCACACCAAATTGAGAGAAAAGCCTCAATTTCTAGGGCTGTGAACCGCGAATGTCGGTCTACGGTTTCCCATGGCCTGAGATGCTTTCATGTTCTCGATACGAGGATGGCGATATGTGCATTCAGCCGGTGAACTCGTTGAAACGTAGGTCTTGCTTTTTTGGCTACCATAGCCGACTGGCTAAGAGCCCTGTATCTTAGTCAGAAGATCAAGGGTTCAATCCCGTTAGAGGACCCTGGTCGACCTAGAGGACCCTAGTAGATCTAGCACTGGCTTAGCTTGAATTTGACCCTGTCCTGTTCCTGTTCTGTTCTGCTCTAGGCTGTCCTTGGGTAGCATAGGGTAGGAATGAGCTATTCTGACTTAGCCTTAAAAACAATTCTTCAAGAAAGCTACTTTCAATTCTAGTAACTTGTTACTGATCTACTGATCAATCAGGTATTGATTGATACTAGATTCTTTACAAGTCAAAAGGGAAAAAAGGTGACTGATGGTGCCAGCTGGTCTCTCCACCTCTCATCCTCCCCCCAAAGATCCCCAGCTTTGACACTTTCCCTTTGATCTCACCGACTCATCACCGACTTTTGAAATTTGACACTCTTTTTCACTTTTCTCGAGCAGATCGACTATGAGGAGAGATCTGTTGAAGTGAATGGGCAATAGAAAGGGCAAAAGAGGGAAAAGAAAAGGATACAATCCAGGGATTTTAATAGATAATAGTTTGGGAGACGGTATCTTGAGTTACGACAGCTCAAGGTTACGGTAATCGTTCTGGGTCATTCTTTAGCAAGCATACGATAGTCATTCTTTGTCTTAAAGAAATTGAATGAATACGGTGAAATCGAGTGCACCTTTTGCAGCACAGTACACCAGCAATTTCAGCCACCGAACCCGCCTGCTCAGCCTGTAAACAAGTGGCCACCTACGAGAATTTGGTTGACAATTTCTGCAGAAGCACGCTAGGTTGAAAAATTTTAATAATAAAATTTGTTTTTTATATTAAGGATTACAATATTTCTATATTTTTTATGTTTTCAGTTGTGAAGGGAAAAGTCGGCTCGGTGCTACCAAATTCGATTAAAGTAAGAAATGCGAGATCACTGAAGAAAGGCGATCGGAGGAGATCTGTTGGCGATACGGTAAATTCCACGAGAAATTCAAAGCCATTAAACTAATTACGCATCAATTATAGCTTTTTCAGGAGATCCACCTCTCGAATGCTGGCCGGGAATGCCCGTGCGAGGTGTTGAACACCAATGACAAGAGGTAGAGCTGAAGAACTGGATAACTTCTTTAAGTTGAGCTTTAAAGCTTCATTATATATCATTCTTGGAGAGATAAAGCTAAAGAAATGGATAACTGAATATCTTCGCTTTCTTTATATAGCATTCTTAAACATTTTCAAATCAAAGCTCTTACTGGATCGATTGAATATTTTATTTTCTCTAATAGTAGTGCACCCAAGGCTTCGCCTAAATTCCTCGAAATCTCGAGAACCGCTTATCAGAACCTATCGATGTGGGGTCGGCAAATGTAGCTGACGATGAGATCTAGTGGGGGATTTGAGTGTTGAGTTTCTGCGAAAACTTGGAAACCGTAAAATAGTCACCAACTCAGCTCGCCGCGGTGCACTACTATTAGAGAAAATGCGGTATTTTATTTTTCAGTTCCCGTGTTTTGATCATGGCTAGCCGCGACGCTCATGGACACTATGTGGCCAATTTGATTGTACCCTGGCAAAAGGAGAAGGTTTATTTTTGATTACCATTACCTAAATTTACATTAACCTTAAAGCTATCTATAAATACCAAAATTCCATAAGAATAAGCCCTGACTATAGAATTATCGTAACTTTATTGATTAAATTGAGTCGAACTCAGTTCTCTATGACTCAAATCAAATAATTCTTTTTTTTGCTAGTATATTTTGAGTTATTTGCTCTAGGAAAAAACATTATTGGGCAAAGATAAGTGTTTTAATTCTGATATTTTTAAAATTCTGATAATTATTCAAAGTGCAAGCGTCGAGAATGCTCAGTAGAACCACTATGAATTGTTCTATGATTCTATTTATGATTTGGATTGTCTAAAATTGTCTAAAAGATTTGGATTGTCTAAAAACATGAAAATATTCAAGAAGTAGTCATAAAAACTTAAAATTCAAGCAAAGAAACGGTTTTTGCGGAAATTTTTACCTAACCACTTACGAAAATCGTGAAAATCACCATTCGGCTGGGCATTCCCGAGACGCGAACTTTAAATAAGTATCAGAACTTTTAAGAAACATTTACCTTTGCCCAATAATGTTTTTTCCTAGAGCAAGTAACTCAGAATGTACTAGAAAAAAAAGAATTATTTGATTTGAGGCATAGAGAACTGAGTTCGACTCAATTTAATCGATAAAGTTGCGATAATTCTGTAGTCAGGGCTTATAGCGTGAAATTCTTCTGGAATTTTGGTATTTGATAAGTAAAAGATAGCTTTAAGGTTAATGTAAACTCAGAATGTACTAGAAAAAAAAAGAATTATTTGATTTGAGGCATAGAGAACTGAGTTCGGCTCAATAAAACTGGGAAAATGAGATAGGGACCTTGAGTTTCCATAATTCTGTACATCTAAAGGAGAATTGTCTCGTTAAATTCAGAGTATTTAATGTTTTAAGAAATTCTTTGATTACTATATTACTATTATATTACTATTATATTCCTCTAACCATTTTCAGCAATTCAAACGCGCTATTCACCATTTCCAGCGTCTCAACTGTCACTCGCTTGGACGCGAAATTCGCGAATCGGCCAGGTACGATTGGATTGAAAAACAGAATACCGTAAATCCTTGATTAGGCTTTTTCCATTAAAGTAGACCACTAAAGTATTAAAGTAGATCACTAAAGTACATCCATTAAAGCAGATCAATCCAATCTTTAGCTACCAATTTCAAACAATTCTCCTCTTTAACAAATTTTATTGAAACTTACATTTATGCCTTTTGAAACTTGAAATTTTCAGTCTAGCTTTAACAAATAATTGCTTTAACAAACAAAATAACTGCAAAATAACAAAATAACTGACTATTAAAGTCATTTAAAGCTTTCATTTAAAGCTTTGTCATTTAAAGCTTTTAATATTTAAGCCACTTGGATAAAATTCTTGGGCTAAATCTATTCTTGAAATCACTCACAAAATAACCGCTTTTTTTGTGTGTTCATTTATAGTTATAAAGTCTATATAATAACTATAATATTGTAGTTATTATATAGACTATAAAATAGTACTGTAGATAATAGTACTGTAGGCTCGTTAGATATAGCCTATCTAACGAGCCTATTTTTCAATCAGAGAACGATTTCTCCAATTTTAGTAACCCTAGAAACCTTTAAAGTTCCTTTAAAGCTCCTTGAAGCTCCCTTAAAGCTCCTTTAAAGCTCCTTTAAAGTTCTTTTGAAGCTCCTTTAAAGTTCTTTTGAAGCTCCTTTAAAGTTCTTTTGAAGCTCCTTTAAAGTTCTTTTGAAGCTCCTTTAAAGTTCCTTTAAAGCTCCTTTAAAGTTCCTTTAAAGCTCCTTTAAAGCTCCTTTAAAGCTCCTTTAAAGCTCCTTTAAAGTTCTTTTGAAGCTCCTTTAAAACTCTTTTATAGTTCCTATTTAGTTCCTTTAAAGCTCCCTTGAATCTCCTTTGAAGTTCCTTTAAAGCTCCTTTATAGTTCCTTTATAGTTCCTATTTAGTTCCTATTTATTTATTAGCTTATCTAAATCAAAATATCTTCAAAATGAATATTTAATTAAAGAAATTTTCCAGACGACGACCCCACGCCTATCACATGAGAACCCACGATCTACCACCGCTTTAAATCAAAATTTCAAAATTCTTTTGAATATTTATTTCGAAACTTTGCATTGTATTGAACAATAAATCGTTCTAGTCAAAAGTTGAGCAAATTTTTGTATTTTTTTCGTTCTTGAGAAAAGCCACAGACACTTTTAAATGGATGATTGATTAAGGCGGCGATTTCCGAGTGTTGTCATTGATCTTTTGTGGGGAAAAAGGAGTTGATTTCGTCAAATGAACAAAATACTCGTTTAAATGATTCGAATTTTGAAACTTTTTTTTAATCTCTACCCATTTCTTTTTCTAAACTATTTTTTAGATTTTCCAAGCGTTAATGTTAACGAATTTTTCAAGATCCAGAAATTCGCGGAAAAAGTTAGAGTCTAATAGTTAACGCCCTCTTGAGCCGAGCGTCGGGGTGCGTTATGGTGTAATGGTTAGTACAGTTGCCCAGTAAGCGGAAGTTCACGGGTTCGAGTCCCGGCGGTGCAGAATTTTTCGATCTTCTGACTTAATAGAAAAAATTGAAATTAAATGAGTTTTTCATTTTTCTAAAACGTGTAAACTTTCAGAAAACTACCGTAACCTATTTCTTTATCCAATCTATTTATCAACTCTTTTTAACTGATAGTATCCTCTATAAATTTTCGATATTGATAGTATCCTCTATAAACTGTCTACAGTGATCCGTAATCGTCTACAGTAACCCGTAATCGTCTACAGTAACCCGTAATCGTCTACAGTAATCCGTAATCGTCTACAGTAAACCGCAAACGTCAAGTAATCCGTAATCATCTACAGTAATCCGTAATCGTCTATAATTACAGTAACCAAAAGAAAAACGATTCATCCTAGAAAGCTGAATATTTTCATTGATATACTAAAAGATCTTCAATGTTGATCAGACTGGAGTCAAGAATGGCGGTTTGTGAAAGTTAAAAACGTTTTAGAAAACACGATTCTCTAATCCTCTAATCCGTTCTTTAATCAACAATTTTCGATTCGAAATTCATTAACATTTCCCTTTTCAGCTTTTTTTTTAATGTCTGAACTCTCTTTGCACTCAATTTTCTTCATCCGATTTGAACCTTGGCATCACCCTATCTCATTTTATCAGTTCTCATCTCTCACCGACTTTTCCCCACTTTTCCGGGGGGTTTTCCCGTACCCAGACTGTTCAAAGGAGCAAAATTTCGTTTACAGATTGATCAAAATTTCAATCGCAAAACAATGCTATCATTGTTACTGATTTTTACAATTATCATCATCATTTTCTATTATAAATGGGTGAAAACGTTCCCGCCTGGACCTTTCCCATTGCCGATTATTGGAAATTTGCATCAACTGGCCACGTAAGTCAAAAATCAGAGCTTATTGTGCTTTGCGCTAAATATAAACACACTTCTTCTGGTGCATTCAATTCTACATTTTAGATTCTGAGAAAAGACAGAATTCTGTGCACTAGAAGCGATGTATTAACATTTCCAAAGTACACTAAAAGCTGATGAATCTTTGAAAAATCTTTTAGAGCCAGCCATCCCCACAAAAGAATTGAGGAACTTGGAAAAGAATATGGGAAAGTTTTCACTGTTTTCTTGCCACTGCCTGTCGTTGTTGTCACTGGTTTAGAGGAGACAAGAGAAGCACTTCTTGGATCAAAAGGTTTACTTTTTTTTTGTTCTATTTTTAAGCCTAATTCATTACTTTCTTATTGTACTTTAATTCAAGTTATGGAAATAGCTCTATATCTTTTAGAAGGTCAAGAATTTCATTTAGCTTTTAAAAGCACTTTTTTTTGTCTCAATTTCAGGAATTAACCGCATTTTATAACAGGTCACAAATCTAAATGCAAAAATTGTACTTTAATGTCTTCACTTTTCTTCTAAAAGATATTAAGCTATTTCCATAAATTGAGGTCATGTTCTTAAACTTTTGTCCGACACTGTAGATGGGTGCATTAAAAGTTCTCTCACTTGCCTAAATTGGACCTAAAGTTGCTTTAGAAAACTCAATTTTTCAGCTATCATAAAGAATATCATAGAAGAAAGAAGTTTTGAAACAATCTAATAGATTCTTTATTATAAAATAAATTAAAAGAAAGTTTAATTGGAAGGTAGAATGATTCTTCAAAAGAATGATGAAATCTAGAAATTTACCTTAGGCATCCAGCACTGTACTTTAGGTTTTTCAGGCTTCAATTTTCAAAATCAATTTTTTTCTAATCACATTCAAATTTTCAGGCGATAATTTCTCTTCTCGACCCGATAATCCATCAGATTCCCTTTTCATGAACATTCCAAATGGGGGAGTCATTTTCTCGGAGGGAAAACAATGGAATGAGCAAAGAGCTTTCACGTTGTCGACTTTGAGGTATTGAATATATTGGGTTGGTGAATTGAAAACTGCCGGCTATTGTCATATGTGACAGTTTGAGCACTTTTTCAAAAGAAACCCATTTTGGTGTCAATGGAAAAGTTGTAGAGAATCAAAAATCAAGCTTATATCCAAATTTTCAGAACGATTCAAAAACTGCTTTTCAAGAAATGCGAAATTTACGAATTTTCACGAAACTTGCATTTTAAGCGAAACTACTAAGTGTATCTTTTTGGAAATTTGGCTATAAGCCTAATTTTTGATTCTCTACAACTTTTCTATTGACACCAAAATGGGTTTCTTTTGAGGAAACTGCTCAAATGCTCAAACTGGGACATCTCCACTCTCACAGTCTCACACTTGTCTCACACACAAACCAAAATCCTAAGAGGAATCCGTTCTTTGTACACGCACATAATCGCTCTCCACCTGGCAAATGGGGCTTCCATAAGGGACTTTCCTTTTGGGTTTGGTAAAGTATTTGGAAAAAATGGGATGAGGGGCTGGGCGGATTTTCCTTGAAAGTTTTTCGATTCAAAACCAAAATCCTACTACGAAAGAGGAATCCGCAAATTGCCTGTAAAATGGGCAGAAGTCGTCAATAATAATGGAAATTATTTCGAATGAATTCATGGTTTTATGTTCAATAAATTTTAGTTCAAAGTCCCGCAGTTTTCAATTCAACAACCCAATAATATTGCTATTGAAAGAATAAATAAACACGTGAAGCATAAAGCATACAGTCATCACAAAAGCCTTTTAACGTTGGTTTTTAGAAGTTTTTTCTTTTTATATCTTGGTCAAAATCCGATCAATTTGCAAACGGTTAAAAGATTTAAAGATTTAAAGATATTTTCCCAGAGACCTGGGCCACGACACAGACCACTGAAGGAGCCCTGAGAACGACGCATCGAGCCCTTGAAAGGAACCTCCTCGGGTACAATAGGAAGACGCAGCTCGACCAGGACCTAAGAAGTACGGATATGCGCCAGCTCTCGGGACTCAGAGATCCAGTGGAAGTGATTGAGAGAAAAAGACTCAGATGGGCCGGCCACGTAGCCAGAAGAACAGACGACAGATGGACGATACGGATCACAGAGTGGCTACCACGAGACCAGAAGAGGCCAGTCGGAAGACCAGCAACGAGGTGGAGCACAAGAGTGGCAGAGACGGTCAGAGAAAGGATGGCTAGACTGCAACCACCACCAGCACCAGCAAGTCGAAGACTTCGAACCAGGAACAATCAAGCTAGGAAACACTGGATGGCAATAGCAAGGGATAGAGAAATGTGGAAGCAGGTTGTGATCTGCGCAAATAGGAACACCTGAGTGCGAAGACAGATCAAAAAAAAAAAAAAAGATATTTTCCTCATATCTTAAAAGACTTTTGTCCATCAATTTTTGGCTCAATTTTTGTTTTATTAAAAAGTTCATGACACCTGATAAATTATCAAATCCATCTTTTTGTAATGTTAAAATTAGAGATAATAAGTTCTTTAAATCTTTTAATCGTTTGCAAATTGGATTTGGATCAAGATATATGTTGTGTCCGATTTAGATTTCCGTCCGATTTAGATTGAACTTATCGCGGACGTCCGATTTAGATTACAGTCTATATCGGACGTCCTATTTAGATTCAATCTAAATCTTATATAGATTGAACAATAATACGTCTTATATAGATGTGTTTGATAGCTTGTCTAAAAACGTTCACAGACAACCGAGAACATATATTAAGCACGTTTATTATTGTTCGATCTGTATCGGACGTCCGATATAGACTGTAATCAATAAAAGACCTTTGAAAAATGCAGAAAACTACAGAAAACGCTTAAGAACATATATTAAGCATGTTTATATTATTGTTCAATCCATATAAGATTTAGATTGAATCTAAATCGGACGTCCGATATAGACTGTAATCTAAATCGGACGTCCGCGATAAGTTCAATCTAAATCGGACGTCCGATTTAGATTGAATCTAAATCGGACGGAAATCTAAATCGGACACAACATATACAAAGAATGATAAAAAATCTATTTGATATAAACTTCTAAAAACCAACATTAAAAGACTTTTTTTCCATGACTGTATAATACAGGGTGCGGCAAAAGTTCTGACACTTTTTCTGTAAGCAGTAATTTTTTTTGGCTTCAAAAACCCGTGAATTTCAAAAAACTAGCGTCGGATTCTAAAAATTTAGGTACTTTCACCCCAATATAGCCATTTTCATAAAAAGATTTCAACTCTCAAGAACTTTTTGACGAGAATTTTTTATATCCCGGTCTGGTCGCTGAAGATTTTTGCGAAAGTTGACTTAAACTTTGCAGAATGAAATTTTTTTCCAAAAATTGCTGTTACCATTTGATAGAACTGAGTTTTTTTCTTGAAAACAAGTCACAAAAAAACTTTATATCTCAAAAACGAAAGATTTTCAAGCGATTCTACGAAGGGTACCCAAATCTCAACAGCAAAAAAAACTGCTGTAACGACCTTTAAACATCCTTATCAAAAGGTTGTTTAGATGGCAATTTTTGTGTAAAAAAGTATATTAGGGGGTAAAAATATCTGAATTTTTATAATCCGGTGTTAGTTTTTCAAAAATCGCGTTTTTTCCAAGTCAAACTGCCCGCTTACAAAAAGTGTCGGAACTTTTGCCGCACCCTGTAATTTGAATCTAGATCATCAAAATCTAAAAGCTACTCCATTCAACTTTTTCATCTTTTCAGCAGTACAGTAACTCTTAAAGATTCTTAAAAGAAAGATTGACTTTAAAAGTAGACTTGCAAAAACTTGACAATACCTTTTAGATATTTTGGCGTTGGCTCGCAAATCATGGAGCAGAAGATCATCAGCTCAGTGCAAGCACTTTTCGATCACTTTGACAAATTAGGTATGTCGAGAAAGACGTTCAGGCTTTTCCAGAAAGTCTTTTCCTTTCTTTTTCGTTGAAAAATAAAAAAAATACACCAATTAACCTATTTATTTGTTCAATTTCTATTCAGATTTATCTTGTCTTGACATCAATTGGCCTGTTCATTTATGTGTTGGAAACGTGATTCACGAGGTTCTCTTCGGAGATCAAGTTCCATATGGGAAAGCTCATGAGATGCGATATTTTCAGGTATACAATAGAAAGCAATTGATTACTGTCAAATTTTGTAAATCACAAGCTACAGTAAGTGTCCCTTTTGTTATGTTGTTGATGATACAATTTGATCAGTTGACAAAGTTAAGCTAACAATTCAAACAGACAGAAATCTTGGGCAATCCTTTTGAAAAAATTAGAACAAATGAATTTGACCAAACAATGCTGCAAACAAGTAGGAGTCGGTATTTGAAAAACGGTAAGTGTCATAGCTGCCTAGCTGTCATAGCTGCCTAGCTGTCATAGCTGCCTAGCTGTCATAGCTGCCTAGCTGTCATAGCTGCCTAGCTGTCATAGCTGCCTAGCTGTCATAGCTGCCTAGCTGTCATAGCTGCCTAGCTGTCATAGCTGCCTAGCTGTCATAGCTGCCTAGCTGTCATAGCTGCCTAGCTGTCATAGCTGCCTAGCTGTCATAGCTGCCTAGCTGTCATAGCTGCCTAGCTGTCATAGCTGCCTAGCTGTCATAGCTGCCTAGCTGTCATAGCTGCCTAGCTGTCATAGCTGCCTAGCTGTCATAGCTGCCTAGCTGTCATAGCTGCCTAGCTGTCATAGCTGCCTAGCTGTCATAGCTGCCTAGCCTGCTGCGCCCTAGCTGTCAAGCTGTCTGCTGTCATAGCGCCTAGCTGTCATAGCTGCCTAGCTGTCATAGCTGCCTAGCTGTCATAGCGCCTGCTGTCATAGCTGCCTGCTGTATCTGCCTAGCTGTCATAGCTGCCTAGCTGTCATAGCTGCCTAGCTGTCATAGCTGCCTAGCTGTCATAGCTGCCTAGCTGTCATAGCTGCCTAGCTGTCATAGCTGCCTAGCTGTCATACGGTAATTTAATAATTCTTTGGGAAATGACTAATGTAATGTCATATTTTCAACTCTAAGAAACCAATTTTCAGGACTTGATCGATGAGGCGATGCAAATGGTTCGCAGTAGAGCCTCAGTGCTTGTCGTTCAGGTATGGTTTAGCTGACAGGGATACCCTTGCAAAATAAATTGCTACAGTAAAACAGAATAAGATTTACAGCGTTTTTCCTATACAATCTTTTACTAAAACTTCATTTTAAAATGATTAAAGAAAGCTATTCAGCTAAAGTTTTTTAAAATAAAAACCTTAATAAAATTAAATTAAAAACGACTAATGAGGACTTTTGCTCGGCTTAAACTATATAAAAGAAAGATATGAGTTCATAGCTCATACCTTTTTTATCTGGTTTTAGCCGAGCAAAAGTGATCGACGTCACGTTGCCAAAATCGACTTTCTTTCCAATTTTTTAGTTATGCCTGAACTCTAGATTAATCTCAAACAAACATCTAAGCAAGCTTTATGCTAAAAAACTGGTTTTAAAAGCGTTTAAAGTTAACATTGAGTTAGTTAACAATTTAGATAAAAACTCTCGTATCAAAGTCAACAGATTTTCGTTATCGAAAAAGAATTACTCCAAAAAAAGCCCCAAAAAGGGTTTTCAATATCAAATTTAGTTTATTTTAATTGGAAAAAGGTTTAAAGCTTAAAATTTGTGTAAATTGTTTAATTTAATTTGTATAAACACTGAAAATTGTTTAATTTCGGTCACTCAAAGGTCAATCAACTGACAAAAGTGCGACTCAAAGGTCAGCCATATAAAAAAGCTAAGCTAAGCTAAAAATTCCCATCGGAACTCAAGTAGCTTCGCTTGCGGCTGTAAAAGATGCAAACCATGACTTAGAACTTATTAATTTGTGGGCCAAAACGTGGAAGCTTTCCCTATCCCCTTCAAAATCTCAACATTTTTCCACTGGTAAATTTAGTTTCTCTTTGGTAATTAACAATATTCCTATCAATTACATTAGTAAATTAGATTTTGTTAGAGATTTAGGTGTCCACATCTCTCCCCCTTTTAATTTCACTAAACATATTGAAATCATTTGTCGAAAAGCTTCTTTTGTTTCTAGCCGTATTCTCAAATCAATTGTTCATCCTAACCTAAACTCTTACCGCAAATGCTTGACGACTTATATCCGGCCCATCTTAGAATATGCTTCTATTGTTTGGTCTCCCCGCGCACAAGTCTTTATTGAACGCTTGGAGAAAATTCAGAGGAGGTTCACAAAAGTCGCTTTATGGAAAATTGACTATTCTAAATATTCTAGCTTTACTTATGAGGAGAGACTTGCTTTTTTTGAACTAAAAACTTTACAGCATCGTCGCTTTGTCATTGATTTAGTCGAAACTTTCAAAATCCTCCGTTGTAAACAGATTAGCCCTTTGTTTATAGACTTTTTCAAATTTAAACCGCGGTCAGGGCCCAGAAGTGGCTCATTCCTTTTGCAAATTCCCTTTGCTTCCAATGCCTCTTTATCAAATTCATTTCCCGTTAGAGCCGCTAGATTATGGAACTTGCTCCCAAACGACATACGAGAAATTCAGTCGCTTTTCATATTCAAGAAACGTATCGATGCTTTAGATCTAGTGGCTCTTTGCCGTAAGTAATTGGCTTATTGATTTCAGTATGTATTGTATGATTAAGTATCACTGTGCATTTCTCTATGATTTCTTTCACTTTATCGTTTGAATAAAGTATTATTATTAGCCTCGTTAGTGGCTTTAAATTAAATTTTATTGTTTTATTTTAGAAAATTTCATTTAAATATCTTTCCACAGTCATTTTAAAATCAATTTTTAGTAAAAAGTTGTACAGAAACTGTAAACTGAAGACCTTTTAACTTAAGCAATTCAAGAAGGTTATTTTGAATCGAACTGTAGTCAAGACAACAGCAATACCGGCTTTAAAAGAAACTTTAAATAAATAATTTTATCTAGGCTCTACCCTGGACCCGGCACTTACCCTTGATCGGTTATTGGGGCTACTGGCAACTACGAAATATTGCGCTCGAGTTGATTAAGTGGGTAATTTCTATGTGATTTCATAACTTAAATACATCAATTAGCATTTATATCCTAAAATTCATAGATATGTGAACGAACAAGTGCAACGAGTACAAGAGAAAGATGAGGGAATCGAGGAGAACTTTGTGTCGGCTTACTTGCGGGTAAATGTACCAAAAAATAATAGGTTATAGGGTTAAGAATTCATTATTTATAAGTTTATTATCTTTTTCTATCAATTTTATATAAAATCGATGTTTAGGAGATCAAAAAACGCGAGAAACTCGAGGAGGAAACCTCTTTCAACGATGGGAATCTCGTGAACACGGTCACTGATCTCTGGCTGGCTGGTTGGCTGAATATTTCAGAGAAATTCAAAGCACTAAGTACTTTTGAGAATTCTGATTTTACAGGGTGACCAGAAATAACGTTGCGGCCTAATTTAGCCTATTTTTTTTAAAAATCCAAAAAGATTTTTGGATTTGGATTTGGATGGATGCGGAGCCTCAAACGCTTGATGAAGTTTTCGGCGATGGGCCTCGGCCGGAGTGATTCGATCCCATTCCCTGGTCAACGATCGCTTAAGAGCCTCCAAACTTTTGTGGGGTTTTGCACAAGCCCTTGCCTCCAAAATTGACCAAACACTGTAGTCCAGTGGATTGAGATCGCACGAATACGGAGGCCATTCCTGGGCCGAGATGAAATCCGAATGATTCCGGGCCACGCGCTTCTGAATCACTTTGCGATTTCTGGAGGTGTTGACTGTTCTTTTTCTGCCTCTTCCTGGACGATCTCCATCGTTGCCAAGCTCCTTGTATCGCTTAATCCCTTTTGAGACGAGCTGATGAGAAACACGTAGCAATCGCGCGATCGCACTCACGCATTGACCTTGACGATGAAGCTCCAGAATGGCAGATCCCTTGTTTGTCATCCGATAAAAAAATGAATAAACTTGAAACGAAGTAAAAAAAACAAAGAAACTAATAAAAACAATCACAGAGAATAGGTTAAAAATAAATTCGTCTCCCAAAATTGAAACTTTGAGGATTCTAGGCTGCCGAAAATTCCGCAACGTTATTTCTGGTCACCCTGTAACAGTTTTAACAACTGGAAACTTTCAAAAACTGAGCAATAACCCTCACCATCGGAAAACAAATGAAGATAGCGATTGTTGCCAAGATCGTAGCCAGTCGCTTGAAATTTATTTGCAAGAAAATAAAGGCTCATGTTGAGAGGCGGAAGATTCAGAGTCGGGAAGAAGTTGATCAAATACCAGTACACCGTGAAGCTCACATAGATGTATTTTGCTAAAAAGACTTCTTTTGATTCCCAAGAAAGAACACTCACGCAAAAGAATAACAATTTGAGTGATGACGATTCGTTTTGTGGTCGTAGGCTGCCGAAAATCCCGCAACGTTATTTCTGGTCACCCTGTAATATATAAATTAACTTATAAACAAATAAATAAACAATTAAATAAACAATTAAATAAACATTTGATAATAAAATCAAACAGATTAAGGTATGGAAACGGCGGCGACGACGATCCGATGGGCGATCACGCTACTCACCGCTCATCCAAAAGTGCAGGTTGGATCAAGAAAATGATTAGAATTATAGATTATAAGTAATCCAAGTAATCAATAAAGGATTACTGAAGTTTCTGATCTAAATATCATTTGTAGAAAGGGATTTGTTTCAGGAAAAATTGGCTGCTGAGCTTGACGAGATCGTCGGCGATCGAATGATCTCAATGAGCGACAAGCAACGATTGCTTTATGCACAGGTTTTATTCAAAACTTGAAAATTAAAACCTGGCTTGGTTACCGTACTCAATTACCGTAAATACTGTAATAGTACGCCACCACCATAATGACGATGCGAAGTGTTGCGTAGTCTAGCTTTGAACGAGTTTTTCTCGACACTGGTTTATGCTACAATGTGCGCTTAGGTATCAAAAAATAGCTGAAATTGAGAGCTATTTTTTGATACCAAAGACGCATTTTTTGAAAGTACGAGCGCTTTGAAACAAAATGAAAAACTAAAAAACTTTTGCGACTACGCGACTGTACGAGGGGGGTAGGGTACTATTACAGTATTTACGGTAGGTAATTACAGTAACCCCAACAGTTTCTATTGCTGTAATTGTAGCTTAAATTATTGTAGCTTAAGCTTAAAGATTAACTTAAAAATTAGCTTAAAGATGGTAAAGATTACCGGGAGATTGGAGATGAAGATGACTAGCTTAAAGATCTATCCAGAGAAATCTATCCAGGATTACGGTAACTAGGATGCCTATTGGAGATGGAGATGAAGATGACTAGCTTAAAGATCTATCCAGAGAAATCTATCCAGACAAATCTATCCAGGATGAAATCTATCCAGGATTACGGTAACTAGGACATCGATTGTTTTTCTAGTTTCCTATTTTCTAGATTACCTATTTTCAGGCAGTCGTTTGCGAGATTCATCGTGTCTCAAACGTGGTCACTTTCAACGTTTTTCACAAAACATATCGCGATGATACTTTAGCTGGACATTTCATACCAGCTGGTAAGCTTTATAAATGAAATTATTTTATTCGATTAAAATCCATATTTAGATCTTAAGTTTAAAAGGCAAATAGTAAACTTCATTTTCATCTTTCAGGAACAACTGTACTCCCGCAAGTGAGCGCCGTTTTAGATGATGAGCAGATTTTCGAGAATGCCCACGAATTTAACCCGGAACGCTTCATAAAAAGGAAAAACGATGGAATTGAGCTTTTGAAAGATGAAATGGATAAAGTGAGCTCTAAAAAATGTTTCAACATAATAGATAAATCAATTTTCTTTGGCATCTAACTTTCATTGGCAGTCCATCTAACTTTCATTGACAGCTTTCCAAAAACTACCACAATCATGTCTTTAGTTTTATTCAATCCATCAACTTTTCTATCTTTCTATACCCATTACTGAAATCTTGATTGAGTAAATCAATAAAAAACATAAAAATATTCAATGAAATCCATAGCCTTTTTCTTTCCAGGTAATCGCTTTTTCATTGGGCAAACGACAGTGCGCTGGCGAGGCTCTAGCAAGAATGGAGGTCAATTCACAAATTACTTATAAGTCTATTAGTTAAAGTAATCTTAGAAATTTCCATAAGCTCATCTTTTTCAGGTATTTCTCATCACTCTTTCCATTGTTCAACGATATCGCCTACTCCCAGCCGATTCAAGTCAATTGCCCAAATTGAATCCAATTTTCGGCATCCTCCAAACCCCGAAACCCTTCGAATGGCGGCTTCAAAATAGAAAAATTTCAAAATATTAAGCTAAATTTGAATTTTATCCATAAATTTGTATAAAATTTAGAGCTAATTTAGAGCAAAATGATAGCAAAATGCAAAAAGCAAAGCAAACCAAGGCTAGTTTGGTTCAGGGTTTAGTTCGGATTCGAACGTAACATATACAGGGTGGCTGTAAAGTATCCGGGAAAAATTTTGTTGATGCGCGCTTGCCTTATTAATTCATCTATTGTTCATTTTTTTTGCCTTTTGACTATTCGACTCTCTCAAAACTCTGGGGAATCGATTCGAAATTCTGGAATTTATATATATATACTTTATCCGACAAGGAAAAGTGACAATGCAAACAGATTGAACAGCGTAGACGAAGAAAGATAATTGATATACAAACACAACTACAATTAGACACGTGTATATATGACATTAAAAACTAATTTAAAATTGACAGAGCTACAAGATCGAGCTTATATATTGAGGATTTAAAATAGTTCAGAGACGAAAAAAATATCACAAGGTAACTTATTCCAAATACGAGGAACACGACAAGCAAAAGAATGATACAGTTGGCGGTTATGAAAGCTTTGAAAGGGGGTAATCTGAAAGTTGTGAATTCTGGCAGTTCTTATTGAAAAAGAGTTATACACAAGCTTATTAGAGTTGACTGGGATTTCTAAAATGGAAGAACCTCTCTTTGCATTAACCGTGGGACTAACTTTGAATAAATTTGGAAAAAGAGGAATAGATTGCCTGCCCTTTACAAAAACATTCTATTAAATCCGTAAATGAATAAATGATTTTATTAGAATTGAGCTGTTTACTTGCAACCTTTTCTTAAATACACTACTGGACAATGAAATATGATATTTGAAAAAAGATCGTCACTTTCGCGCGTCTGTAACTCCCTTGTCTTTATCGTATTTCTAAATATTAATATTACCATTGTGTAGCCCTTGAAAAGAGCTTTCAGAAAATGTAGAACACTAATAGTTTAAACTCAAAGACAACGGAGTTACAGACACACGAAAGTGACGATCGTTTTTCAAATATGCTTTTTCTCATTGTCCAGTACTGTAGATTGCCAACGGCAAAAGCGAAAAAGCGGCAAAGTTAACAAACAACCAGCTATATCAAAAGCTGTTTAACCAATTTAGACAAGATGAACTCGCCAATTCATAGAAAAACGATGAATCAAATGCTCCAGAAAGGCTGTGTTTACACACATATTGGGCTATACCACTTGGTGATAGAGTTTAATCGGCGTAATCTAATCGAATTCTAATCTTTATTTCTACAGAGTGGCGCACAATTACCCTCAATTTGTTTCAAAGTCATTGTTTTGAATTTTGAACGCATTTCAGCGCGCACGAAAGTGACGATCGTTTTTCAAATATGATATTTCATTGTCCAGTACTGTATTTGATACCTATTTGATACCTATTTGATGCCTATTTGGTAAATACACTACTGGACAATGAAATATCTAGAAAGTGTATCTAGAAATATCTAGAATGATCTAGAATGATCTATCTAGAATCTGCATCTAGAAAGTGACGCTTATGAAATTTCTATAAACACAAAGATCAATAAATAAGTGAAAGTAAGCTAAAGAATTTTTCCAAAAAAATCGTACCATCAGCTATAACGGTTCTTAACCTAGAAAAACTAGAGGATTTCACTTGTAATTATTGTCTGTGTGCCTCGACGACTCACATGGAAAAGGAAAGAGGCAAAGAAAACATCAAATTTTTCTCTTTTCTTCATTTCTTTTGAAAATTCTCTCCATTTCACTCATTTTTCTCAGTTTTACACGACATTTTTTCTTTTTTCCTGTTTCTTTTATTATTTTCAATAACTGACATTCATTTTCTAACTTTCAAACTGTTTTTTTTGTACTTTTTGTGTACTTTTTGATGAAAGTAAACCCTTTCTAGCGCTGTTAATCATAAATTTTTACATTTTTACATTTTTTTGTACTAGAAGGGATGTGTTTCTGGTTTTAGCACAAAAAAACGTTCAAAATCCGGCTATCAAAGCCATTAGTCAATATTTGGCATTTTTAAATTTAAAGAATTATCCAACTGACCTTAGCAAAGATGAAAGAGATTTCAATTTTTCCTACTCTTTCACTTTCTCTCTTTTTTTTGCATTAGAAAATGGACAATTTCTGAGTTCTTGTGTATTTTTTTTGTGTTTGCAAGGTCTCAAAACACAATTTACGGCTGTAAAAATAAAAATATTAAATCAAGTTGAAAAGCTGATTTGCTTTCTTTTAAGAGAAAATAACCTGCAAAAAATAGAAAAATTTAAGAGAAAATAGCCTGCAGCCTGATTTCATTTAGTTTTTTGTTAATAACTTTTGATAAAACAAATATTTTCTAAAAGCTGACGTTCTAAGCTATCTAAATCTTATTAAAACTTCCTTATCTAAGAAGGTTAAGGTGCTTAAAAATGAGCTGCAAGTTGGCCAAAAAAATTGCCCCTCGTGGATAATCGCTACCCCCGGCGTTAACCGTAAAGATCCGGTATTTGCCTTAAAATCTATAAACCCATTAAGTGAAGTGGCAGAACTTTTGGCAATTAACCAACTTCAATAGTGGCCTTTACGGTTCATTGATATTTGGGACTTCAAAAGGGACCTTTATGGTTAACGGTGGGGGCCAAGCTTTTAACCAACTTGCAGCTCGATTTTATTTAGCTTTTTGTTAATAACTTTTGATAAAACCCTCATGGTGTATTGGTTAAGTTCTCACTTCCAAACTGAGGGTGTGGGGTTCGGCCCCCCTAGGGTTCTCTTCCCTAGCCCGTGCGCCCAGACTAGAGGTCTCTTCTCTAGAGCTGACTAGAGATCCCTTCTCTAGCGGAGTTCACTCTTCCACTGGGTTGGCCCATTCATGGCCTGAGGTTATTAAAGCAAGAAGCCTATCTTCTATCTATCTTCTTTTCTCCCCGCCTCCACATCGCCGAGTAAAATATCTCATCTTTCTCTATGTATTTATGTGTAGATTTGTGTATTGTCTGACTGATTACGCTTTATTTCATGTCCTGAATAAAGTATCAATATATAATATAAAACAAATATTTTCTAAAAGCTGACATTCTAAGCTATCTAAATCTTATTAAAGCTTCCTTATCTGAGAAGGTTAAGGTGCTTAAAAATGAGCTGCAAGTTGGCCAAAAAAATTGCCCCTCGTGGATAATCGCTACCCCCGGCGTTAACCGTAAAGATCCGGTATTTGCCTTAAAATCTATAAACCCATTAAGTGGAGTGGCAGAACTTCTGGCAATAAACCAACTTCAATAGTGGTCTTTACGGTTGATTGGTATTTGGGACTTCAAAAGGGACCTTTACGATTAATGAACCAACTTCAATAGTGGCCTTTACCCAAAATCCAAAAAAATATACCTATCTTTTGCCCATTTCAATGCTGGTTTCTAGTTTAAGAATCTCGATTTTCTCTATAGAATCTCTATTTTCTTTATAGAATCTCTATTTTCTCTATAGGAATCTCTTTTTTTTCCTAAAATTTGGCCAATTTTCGAGTTGAAAGCTTTCTGTACCGGTGTTGAAGGTTAAACGATTAGCCTGAGATTTTAAGGAACACTTAGCTGCTAGATTTTCCATCAGATTTCAGAGCTTTTCATCAGCTTTTCAAAAATTTTCAAATTTTCAATGAATTTAGAGGATTTTAGCTTAAAAACTTGTTAATTCACCTTTCTTTTCTTGAAGTTCTCCTTTCCTTTTCACCCACAAAACCCACTTTCTTTGTGTTCTCTTTTTGATCAACTCTCCCTTCCCACTTGCGCACTGACTTCTCCACGGTCGATTGGCATTGTCAATGGTCACTTATCTACATAACTTTCCCATTGCTTAAGTGAAATACTTCAAATATTCTCTTCTCATGTCTTCTTATTTCTATTTTATTTCCTTCTTTCATCTCTTCTCAAGCACTTGCTCAATTCTCGGATTTTGAGATCGAGATTCGAGAAAAGGCGAAGACGGCTGGATGAGCTTTTTGCAATAAGAACCTGGGCTATGAACCGGGGCGGGATCAAACCCGGATCTAATTCCAGAGACAACCACACTGGCGTTGCGCTACCCCGACGCTGGCTAGACTAGGCTAGGCTAGGCTAGACTAGACTAGGCTAGAAGTCTGGTTGCCTTGCTTCTGTCTGGCCAGCCTTGCTTCTACCTGGCCAGTCTTGCTTCCATCTGGCCAATTTTCTGGTCAGGTACTCAGCTGGTTTCTGGCCTGACCTAGCTGACATGACCTAATCTCAAGATCCAAACTTTCCTTGATTTTTAATCTAAATTTTGGATTGAGTTTCTCATTAGTGAATATACTCAAATAGCTTTTTCAAATATTTAAATTTTCTTTCAGAAATTATCATTTAACATTTTGAGACAAGAGAAGCATGTTGACAAAGGGGATAAATTTGGGAAAGGGTCACAACGATCACAAAGCAAGTGCACTCCTTCGATAAGCCCAAACCCGAGAATAGGTCCAGGTCTTTTCTGAAGAAGCAGAATGGTTGTTGTATCAATGGACCCATCTTCCTACTATAATCCAAGCCGGGCGTCACCCCTTCTCCTCTATTCCTTCTCTTTCTGTGAGACTACAAGGACTGGCTTTCCCCTTCTTCCCCTTCTTCCCCTTCTTTCCCTTCTTTCCCTTCTTCCCTTCGTCCCTTTTTCTTTCCTATGTCTACCTCCGACCCATTGAATAGGTTGAGCTGTGTTAACGTCATCTCAAAAGTTTTTTTTTCCTGTTTTGATTTATTGATTGACTTAGATTTTTGGCTTATTAAGTTGTCCAGAAAGCTTTTTTTTCGTACTTTCTTTTAAAATCAACAAATGCATCAATTGAACTATGATTTCTTCCATTAGATTTTTTTCATTTTTCTTTAAAATCACATTAAAACGGGTTTTGAATGTGTTAAGTTTGAGTTTTTTACTCAGAGTCTAGTACTGTAGTCTAGTCTAGTACTGTAGTACTCTGAATCTAGTACTGTAGTACTGTAGGAC